GTTAAAGCGCCGGAAATTTGCTTTTCGTCCTCTCATTTTCATAAACAACACCCCCGTCACGAGAAGGAAGTGAGTAGGCAGTATGGCCTTTGTATGTTTGGAGCTAACACAAAAAGAAACTGCCCATAAAGAACCGGTTTGTGACCGGCCCCAAGCAGCTGTACATCAGGTTCCATCAAACTCCCAGGTTGCTAAGACCACTACCGACCCAGTTTTTTTCAGGTTCTTCAAGAGAGAATGTTCTTCCACGGTGTGAGCAACTGAAAAGTGCCCTCAAACTTTAACAGTATGTGAGAGCTCGTTTATAATGAAACTCGATTATCATCACTAAACATTACTTCTACTCCCAATATTAACCCTCATCTACCTTTAACTGCTTCAATGTATGTCCCAATGCTAATAATTGTAGTTCTCAGAATGCCACCCCAAGTCCCCTGAAACTGCTCTCCGAACTACATGTTTATAGCTTTCAATATCCGGACGGCATGTGGAATCGAACAACAGGCATCATTAGCTAAGACCCTGGAATCTCTTGATTTCGATGTATGTATATGATGTTTATCGAGTGAAGTTTAACAACTTATTGCTCATGAAACATGAGAATCACGCATATCTATGACCACTCACCGTTACATATATTTATTTGCAGTACAGTGTTAGTGCTCCACAGATGAATTTAAGAAATAGTTTTATCTATTTTGTGGTTTGATTTTCCTAGTGTTTTTCGTGCGTTGCATGAGTATGACGGTCTTCTTGTGGGTCTTTATTACTAATTCTTTTAACATATCCAAATTAGGAACCTACATTTTGTCTCGATTTGTTGGGACACTGGAGGGATTTCTTTCAAAACTCTTGCGCATTTGATGTTATACTTGAAACAAGCTGGTTGAGCGCTATACGCCGCACTATTGTTAACGAATGGAATCCTCGAGACTGCGAACCTCTCCTAGAAGTTCTCGAAGCCTGGCAACCTTTGTTACCGGATGATATGTTGCAACGCAAAATACTTGACCAGCTGATTCTTCCAAAATTACAGGTTCGTTGAATTTAGATTTCGATATCTTCCTCGTTATTGTTCGTTGATATTACACAACTACAATTGTCATAAGTATTTAATACGTGCTGTTTAGTTTTAATTAGTTATTTCACCTTATTTTCAGTGAACTGCTTCTCCTTAGCCTAAAATAAAGGATATCCAAAGGCCACTTTCAGCTCGCGGTTATTTGCATATTGCTATATTTTATATTTAGTCAGTCGTGAGCAACATGGTACCGGGTACATATGTGCAGTGGACCCAAGTTATCACACCATACATTTATGATATATATTGATTTCATAAAGTAAGACTTGATGTAAATAGAGAGATTTCAAAGAATCAGTTTGTCTTGGTCTTAATTTACTTTTGTCTAAAAACGACTCTTTTCACCTCAGTCTTACTATTTGTTATAGTTACATAGTTTACCTATTCAATTTCGAAATTTCTGGGTAATTCACATTAAAGCGTTATAAAAGGTGTAGAATCTAACAAAACAAACTGAGGTATCATAGAACTTCAAGATTCAATATTTTGTAAAAAATGTATTCAGTACTCCTGGTGTTTCTGTCAGTCACGATCTGTAGTCATTGGTTTTTACATTTTTCTCCGAACTACAGATATAGACAATGTAGTAACACAATATCACTTACTAACTTTCCGAATGCTTTTGTAATTCCTTCTTATATGTTATTTCTAAACATGTCCAACTTTCAGGATGCTGTTTCCTCATGGAATCCGTTAACTGATACAGTACCTGTTCACACTTGGTTGCATCCCTGGCTACCTTGGTTTGGAGGAGTTGAACGTCTCTCGTGTTTGCATGATATGGTTCTCCAGAAGTTAGGAAGTTGCCTTACCAACTGGCATCCTAGTGATGCATCTGCCCGCTCAGTCCTAATGCCTTGGCGAACCATTTTCCCCGTCACATCCATGGCAGCTTTTTTAAGTCGCCATGTGGTGCCGAAACTTGCTTTAGCGTTACAACAGTTTCAAGTTAGTTTTTACTCGTTTATTTACAATACTATGACCTTAACAAGCTTTTTAATTTGATCGCTAAATATCACCTGTTAACTGGTCAATGCATTCACAGAATCTTTTCCCTAGTTGGCTCCTAATAAACCCAGCGCGGTGGTGTACTTCTCATTTCATTGTAAGTAGTAGGTTTGACTACACTCTTTATCATTCCTTTGTGGTGCTGATAATTTATTATCAGCTTTTAAAATGAATGTTGTCCTTCAGTTTAATATCTTGAGTATTTGTTATCGCATGTTAGTTTACATAAATACTCATCAAAATTTAAACGAACGCTTGCACTCATAAATTACAATCGCGAAATATGTGATATTCAGGATAACATTATTTATGATCTCAATAAAAGACGAACTTCGTTTACTGGAACTCTCTTGGTTGTATTCTTAACCGAATTATATCTTATTATGTTCTTGTTCACTTTCCTATATGATCTTTATCCCTTATTTATGTGGCGCATGAATTTCTGGTGTTTGAATATACCATATTTTGTGTACCAAATATGGCAGTAATTTCTCTGAAGATTACTGACAAAATACTTGCGACTGTTTAACTTCAATTGCTGAGGTTTCTGCATACATAACTCCATTTTACGTATTAATCATCGTTTGACACCGGCTTTTAGTATGTGATTAAAACATACCAACGGGAATTGTGATAGTCAAACGTCGTCTACTTGAACACGATAAAAATATCGCGGACACTCAGTAATATGAATAAATTACCAACACTGCGTATATGCTAAGCTACGAATAGTAGGTATAAGGAAATTCTGCTCAGTCTGGCAAGTGTATACAAGTACAGTACATTTTATGTCATGATAGAATGTAGTCCTGCACATAGCTTCGAAAATACTGACAACAAAACAGTTGATTGGAAGCTAAAACTCCAAAATGGACTGACAATATCTTTATTACCAACATTTTAATTATTACTGTTGTTTCACCTCAACAAAATTCTAAGGGGTTTCCACACAATATGCAATTTAGGGACTGATATGCTTGGAACTTATTTATGATTGCACCTCCGATGTCGAGTTTCAATTTTTTTGAAAAATTCTGATATTTAGCTTAATCCCGCTAAGCAAAACATGGATCCGTGGAACTGGGTGATGCGCTGGGCAGACTTGATTGGTCCGGCTGTACTTGTAAACCTACTGGAACATCATTTCTGGTCACGTTGGCTGTCAGTCCTTTCAAGTTGGCTGAATCAGGGGGTAGAAGCTAGGCAACGTGGAGACCACGCTGCTGCCGGTCAAGTTTATCAAGAAGTAGGCCGTTGGTATGCTGGTTGGAAAGGTCAGTTACCTCCTGAGTGTATGGAATATGCAAGTGTTAAAGATGCTTTAACAAAAGCTTTGGCAATGATGGAACGTTCAATGAGAGGTTTACCGCCCCAAGTAAGTTATTATGGGTTTGGATTTTTTGATGCCATTTTAAATACCATTTGTTGAGTTAATTAGGTGGCTTCTTAATTTTATATTCACAAGGTTAAAAAAACTCAAAATGCCATTACCCAAACTTTAATGACTCAAAAATTTAGATAAATGTTGTTTATCAAGTAAACTAGTTTATTTAATTTAACCATAGATCTCTCACTCCTGACATAATTTTAATCAATTCTAAGATCGCAAAATGTATCAATCACATCCATAATGATTACGTAACGAGGTCTTCCGCAATGCAAATGTGTAACTCCTAATTATACATACCCATTATTTAAATGTGAGAAAGCACGTAATCTAACATTATGTAATTTACAAAGTAATTATCACAAAGCCAATTATATGTATGGTTTAACGAGTTTTCCAGTTCTCTCACGTCACACCATGCTTTACTCTTCGCTAAGTCATTTTGATAAACAATACTGCTGACATATCCCAAGGGTACCAAATAATGGTAATAGTCTAGTCTGGACAAAAAACCGTATCCTATTTGTAGACTTAAGATAAACTAACTTGTTTTAAGTCTTGTGTACTTTTGGGAATTTGCACTTTATTTAGGAACCTCAGGTCTCAAAGCAAGGTCAGTCAGATGTGTCAAGGTATCCTGCTGGCTCATCCGGCGTACTTCCGCCAGCTTTTGGGTCATCAACACCTTTGATTGCTCCTCCTCCGACAACACTACGTAAACAAGTTGAACAAGTAGCAGCGCAGCGTGGCTTCTTATTCCATCCTATTTCAAACAGGATGTTCGAAGGTCAACAAGTATATAGACTGGAATCACTACAAGTGTTTTTCGACCGCAACGTCAGTTATGTGTACAATCCCAGTGATGGTGGCTGGCTTCCTGTTACATTTGCTGAGTTGATGACCCGTGCTCAGTATTGACTTCCTTAATCTTTTGACTTTGTAAATTTATTTTTCAAACATTACTTCTCACAAGAATATTGTATATAGTTTTCCAGATTTTCTTTGTAATTTCTTCTGAGTGATATAAAAAGATGATTGCGATAAGTTTTCATACTTTTCGGGATCTTGTCTACTATTGTCATAAAGTGTACCTCTTTAGACTGCGCACAAATACAGACGAAAGCAGTTCTGTCATAGACAAAATTTAAGAATATCATCGAAACGAAATATGTTCACTCGTGTCGTCCGGAGATATGCATATCAAGTCCCAATACATGTCCGTAACAGAAAGTTCAAATCACGTGTTTAAACACTACTAAAGTTACGAGCCATGTAGTCTGCGTATGGGCTTATATATATGAGTCCAGAAATTCATGTTCGCTTTATCTATTGTGTAAGGTAATTTCACACCGGCAAAAGTATTTGAGCAACATACCAACCGTCTCTCGCAAGCACTGACCGACAAACCACCTAGTTATGTTCTACTGAGTTGTAAGCAGCATACATAGCTGTTCTGATTAATCATACCGTAAACCGTCAAGCATACACGCTATCACACAAACGAAAATGGGTAGATCCGAAATATGCTAGGAGGAAAGCTTTATTTATTAGGAAATACTTCGAATGCCCATGCATTGGTAATAGCAAAAATAATCTATACGCCTAATTACAATCAAAGTAAGATCTTATACCACAAGTTCCGTAGATAATGAAGCTATTAGCAATGGGGTAGAAGTAGATTACTATATTTCTGGATACAATAAATTTTTCAAGTTTTCAGAGTGGACAAATAGTAAGGCTTAGTGAGTGTTGTTACTGGTTGTGATATTTGTTTGATGCCGTAGTTTGACGCCTCTGACACAAGCCTATTGTTGACTTCTGTTAACAGTTCAAGAATGTGAAGCCTGTGCCCATGCAGCCTTGTTACCTCAACAAACACTTTTACATACCAACTCCCCTCTATTTCAGACCGCCAAGACACAAATCCAGGTAAGGTAGAATACACAATTACACAGTCACTCATATGTGGCAGCGACAACCAAGAGCTGGGATCTAATGAGACTTCACAAAAGTTTGATGGTAAAGAGTCTAGAAAATCACGCTTTACAAGACCATTATGATTACGTTCTTCACCTCTACAGGCTTGTATAAGTATGAGTTTAGGTTTTCCAGCTAGAAGAGGACATCTTTTGTTAGTAAAACAACTAACAAGTTCGTCAATGCTAACATGGGTACCGTCACTTGCTATAATATGATGTTCTAACCCATGTGCTAGAATAATAAGGACAGCCGCATGTACGTTACTATGCTCTGGTTTGCAGGCGAATTCTCGCACTACTTTTTTGAGTTTTTCACCCTCTAGATTTTTAATGACAGCAACACTATACATAAAGTCTTCAAAAAGAATTTGGAGTTTAGATGCATCGTGTGATGAACCATGACGACTAGGTACTCCGGATTCACAACTGTAATCTTCTATATTTATTATGAGGACGTAACCACGCGGAAACGAAGTCACAGTGTAGGGTGTTAACGGATGTGAGCTAACTCTATCTGGGATCATAATCGATTCATCTCTTGTATCAGATAAGCGTTCTGACGATATATCATGACCAGCTAGGACTTTCAGTTCCTCTGTTTCGTTCAAACGATCATATATACTCTTTTGGTTGGTTTCTAGGAGAGCTTGCTTAAACTTTTCATATGCTGATGGGCCACATCTGACTATAATATCTAGGAATCTACGTATCTTTTCAGCTAATGTCGTTCCAGAGAGTATTGAATGGCGTTGATTCTCAGTAATGATTAGTGCGGACTCCAGTATATCGAGGATTTCTTCAAGGTTAGAAATATTTTTTACAAGAAAAACACGCAGCTTCCTAATGACGTCACGATGTTCCTTCTCCATATGAACACAAAAAGATGCGTCCAACAAGCGAATTGGTAAGTGGAATGTTGAGAAGACAGAGGGACCAAATAACAACAGTATTTCCGATTACGCGTAGGAGTTAAACCTGAGATAGAAAAAAATGAATGTTTTGGAATAAATCAAATACAGTGGACTTTCATATAAATGCTAACAATCCCAATGTCTAACATTCTTATTTCAACAAGTGAGTTAGTTAATTCAATTATACTTTGGCTGCTAAATTGTGTGATGTAATGGTCGTGAAATCAAATAATCGCAATAAAGCACACCGAGGACAAATAGAAAGAAGCGAAAAAATGCTACAACTTCTTAGTAGAATATGGAGAATGTTATCATTTAATGAGACGGTGAGGACTAACCATTTTTTCACGGACAATGAAACGTTCCTTATACATTGTGATGATTCGAGTTAACAAAATGAAGAAATTTCTTCATTTTGACAGGAAGGTTTTCCCCAATAGCCAAGTACGTACCTATTTAATCTATACTCATAAAGTAGTTCATCAAAAGCAGAGCTTTCATCACCGCCCATTCCATGTACATCGACCGCAGTAGATAAATCGTAAGTTGCATTTACTGGTTTCCTTAAAACCAAAGGTTGGGCGACATCGCTAAAATGTTGAGAACGCTGCTGAAGGCGGTAGGTGAACTATCTAGGAAGATGGACAAACTGATAACCTACATCGAACGCTTACCCATGGGTGTCACTGACAGGCGTACGGAGCCCTTAGACACGGCAGCTATAGCATTCCCATTAAGAACGCATGAGGACTTGCGTTCTTTAGAAGCTGCGTTAGATAACGTCCAGTTCCGGGATTACTTCGTAAGTTGTTACAGGTATTTGAACAAATTGTAGGTGGGAAGATTAAACGTGTTCCTCTGTGACGATCCTCGGAAATCAGCGAAAGCTTGTCTGAGTTACCTGCTTTCGCCGGAACTGGCAGACAATTACACTTTACACGGAACTCACAAAAAATTGGGTATTAGTAAATACAAATTTTACTCAACCGTTCAAAGTAAGTACACACTATTGCATTAACACATTGATAGGTGTTCTGTGTTTCCATTTCCGAAGTGCGACCTGTACGGAAAAGGATTTGATACACGCCATGGGTACAGCAAGCCAGGCTTTCTCGCATGACGCAAGAGATAAAGTTAATAAACGCGGATGGCGATCCAAAGAAAAGGTTAGCCAAAGCAATAATACATATTGCACTTCGATTATTACTTTGCGATCAATGTTTATAGTGATAAAACTGTTGTCATATTCCTCTTGTTTTCAGCTGGCTTCACAGACTTTATCTGACGTAGCTGTAAGTTATTTGTTCGGATTGCTGAAAGCATTGTCTAACTTTAAATTACGTCTTCAGGGTTTCACATTTGTTCATATGTGATTGTAAACTGAAAAATCTTTTTTCATTTTTTTAGAACCTACCAAACGATAGTTCAACTTCTGCTTAACATGTAGCAGAAACGGAACAATGAAAAACGTCGTATTATTAAATAATCTGTGATATTTTATTAACTATAATAAAAATTGAAATATTTCAATAACTGGTGTTTTAATGAAACCAAAAAATGCATTGACGTTAAGTTTATTAGGCAAGACGTAGTTGGCTAAAAATAATCTTATATCACAGTAAGAAATGTACGTAGGTATTCTCGCCAGGTTTTCCGTGATGTCTGAAGATTTCGGTATAGGTTTTGCGTTAAAACGGTTAGGTCGGAGAACCCCAAAGTGTGGGGAAATTTAGGGGAAAAACCCAAAAGTTTGGGGAAATTTTGGGGTTTTTGTGCCATTTCCCCAAAAATCCCCCAAAGTCTATAATGGCGGCTTCCCCAAAATGTGTGAAATTTTCCCCAAAATTGGGAGCTTAGGATGTTTCCCTTGGTTACTTAGGTAGACCACTGATGGTAAATACTTTTCGGACTTATTCATGGTTATCTAAATATTTCTAGCAGAATTTCGTGAATACTTACAGTAAACTGATCAAAATACAAAGTGTGTATACACTTGGACGAACAAGGCAACTAGGCAACCGAAGCAATAAGGTTCATAATAACGCCAGACTGTAAATGTAGTATTTTATGTATTTGAAATCTATAAATGGTTCAAATGGTTATAGATGAAAGAGAAGAAGCTTTCGCTTAATGGGCTTCCGTATTTACATGCAGCAGATCACCGATATCTTCATGTGGGCACATAGGTAATATTAATAAATATACCTATAAATACCTATAAATATATATCGTTATAACGATAAAATGCGAAATATTAGTGAATTGTAATGAGAAACTGTCCTTTATCCCTCAGAATATGTCAAGGTTTCTCTTAATGGTCTCCTGGAAAGTCACCTGTACTAGCTCGTTCATCAATGAATCCCAGCAATTGACTACTTTCGGGGAGTAAGTGTGTCTACAGTTTGTTCTGCTATATTGTTTTCAACCTCTAGCTGTTGTGGCATCTTCACTGTTACCCCCAAGGTTTGTTGGAGCTGAAGTTAAGTAAGTATTAGGGGGGGTACAAAAGTGCTTAGTATGCTGTAGGTCATTAGAAACTCACCTTTAAGATGTCTATACCATGATGAGTAAAGGTTCAGTGATTGAAGGCGCTATATGTGAGACTTGAATTTAAGTCTCCAAACTGATTTTATGGCCCACCGTTGCATATATTCCAGTGTATTTTCATCCTTTTGAAGTGACAGAGGAAATACGACACTTCCATACCCTAAATGGAGTCAAATAAAACTGTTGAAGATTAAATGGGAAGTTCTTCAGTCAAACTGGACACAAATGTGCTTCGAAGTTACCAGTGCAAAGTCTACTCGAAATGTACTTTTGTAGCAGTCAGAGCAAGACTCCTCAGCAGTAAAGATGGTGGGTCGTTGGGCCTATGTTAGTTCTTGCTTTATACCCAAATCGTTATTAAAAATATGGAGTGTCGATATAAGGTCACTTCGCATTCTACGATACGATAAGAGTGTAGCGGTAAATAAATCTCCAAAATAAATAGCTCTGTAAGTTTTCGACGTTGGATGCTGACCACATTGGCTTTAATGGACTCATCTAGCTGAAGGCGCTCGGTCAAGCAACCGCACCAGATCACGGGTGGCAACGCCGTGTTCGACATCTGTCACAATCGTTTGCCAGATTAGTTCAAACGATCCTCGATATATTGATAGCTTATCAAATATACCTTTGATCTCCTCGCTTCTGTCTTTTGATTTCACTTAGTGGGTACGCTTCATATTAGAAGGTGTTACTGGTTAAAGCGTTGTCAAACCCCAAATACCTGTGGCATCTTCAAGGGGAAAAGGTTCAGGCGTTCTAAGCGCTCATCTTAAAGTGGCGTGGAGAGACTCTTCACCAACTTTGTTCTCACACAATACATACGCTCGATTGTGTCAGTATCCTCAATAAGACAAATACTGGATGGTTGGACACAGTTTTCTAGGTGTGGTCTTACGTAGGCGGGATATAAATTCCGCAACATCTCGCCAGACCATAAGAATGCTCGTTGAAGTGATCAGGACGCTCAAAAATCTTTTGGGGCTGATTTATTGGAATGCACAGTTGTTTTTAAGTCTTGACTTGTATTTACCCTCAAGTCTTTGTGCTTCCGCACGCACGGGGGCGATGTACTGTTGGTAGCATATTGGTGATTTTAATTGAGATCATGAGCCGATCAGTATCAGACTGACATCGAAAACCTGGAAGCACTAAAAGGCCGTTTCGTTCGAGTATGACACTACTCAGAATTGCTCATCCACTATCCTGAACGCGGAATTCGGATCTGGGACCCTCAGTCTCGCACGTGAACGCTTGACCTGTAGACTACTGAGCAGGGATCCAAGGGTGTTAATGTCTAACTTCAACCAATCCACAGTTTGAAGATCGAGTCTTATTACAAGAACAGATATGACCCAATACAAAGCCGTTAGCAAGGCAACATGGACTGAGGTATAGTCCTTCTTTAGCTACTAACCCATGTCTTAATATAAATGCACAAAAAACTACCTCATATGTTCCCCTATAGTGCATCTCTGATGTGCCCGAATGCACAGGAAGTTGATCTCCAACACATAACATTGCGTCATTTCAGTCAAGATCTATAATTCTATCATTCCTAATACAAATGGAGAACAGTTTACATTTACAATCAACCACGTTGCTGTGACGATAACTGTATTATGGCCCGGATATTTTATTTCTAATATTGCGGGCGTTCTCATTATACTGTAGCGTGGTGTCGAGTCGAGATTGACTATGAACACCTTTACAAAAAGTCTACGTTCCAATTAACCAATAAGATCCCCGTAGGCCAATATCAGAAGGCAGATGATGGTTGTAATCGAGATGTATTTGCTGGCGATCTCGTGGTATCGAAAGAATACCGAGATCGTGCCAAAGGAGTACAGGCGTGGTTACTAAGCGTAACCGAATTCGTACAAGTTCAAAGTCAACGGGAGAGTAATAGCTGTCATTAGCACAGTTAAACAAACGATCACAGTAAAACAATCACTGATACAATTGGTTATAATAATAATTGTTTTCAATGAACCAATCGCGTTCCGTTGACAAAAGTAGGTCACTACAATACATTTTAAATAGTTTTGAGGATAACTCGTTCTGCTTATACTTGTCTGGGCATCATTGATTTCCAATACCTGACTACCAGAGAATCCTGAATCTTAGGAATTTTGCCATCTGGCTTTCAAGTTTCTGACTCAGCAAGGACATTATTACATTTGATTCAGTCCTTGGGTAGCCATTGTAGTCGACTACAAACATTCAAATTGCGATTTTTTAATGCGCTATTTGGTATAATGTAACTTTCCTGGGGGCTTCTGAGTACTAGCTCCAAGATCCTTTTTGCCTGTGTCTCTCCTTCTACTCACCTACCGAGTGTCATTAATTTAGTGATACTCCGGAAAGCTATCCCTTCAGCGCATTTCTGATGGTGAGTCCCAATAACTGCAGTTTCTCCAGATTCCAAATAATTGAACTAGAAACTGATGTGATTTCTTTAAAAGTGGTGTTCACGTCTATCGATAGTGATGTCACTTCCTGCCTGCTAACTACTGGGAGCCTTTTTAGCTATTTTTGGATCCGAGTCGCTTGGTTCGTGCAAATCATTCATAATAATATCCAACGTCAATAAATGTTGTCCAACCACAATATGGTTAAGTGCTATCTTTGTTCGGGACTTTGTCTGAGTATCTAATGACTCAGAGTGTGAGTCTTTAAAAGACTAGTTAGGCTAACAGGCATTGTTTATGGCTGTTTTTCTTTCTCTTCATTGTTTCAACACTATCTTTGATTTCTCATCGGTAAAGGAATCCACTTCAAGAATACTTGGGACGTTGACGGTTTTATCGAAGCCTTTGATCACTGCCTTAGGATCCTGACAACCAATATCTAATGGTTTTTTACTCTTCATTTGTTTCGGAAGAGATTTCCTTATTTCATGCTTTGTAACTAGGTGCTTAGCTCGTCCCGTAGCAGAACTTACTACACTGGCATATTCTTCACCATCGGTACTCAAGTTAAAAGTTAAGCCCTCATCATCATTCCTATTGGTCAACGGAAGATGGCTAATTGCTTCTTGGATTAGTCATGTCTTACTGGAACAGGGGAACATACAAAGAGAGTGTGGGGACATCACACTGAGGGATTTCGCCAAGCTACTACTACTACTACAGCGAAATGAACTATTTCGGAGCCAGGAGAGGCGTACTTGTTTAGATGGTGCTGTTTCTGATAAACCAAATTAGCCTCAGATTCACCGCTAAGAGCCCTGTTGAGTTAAAGATGAAGCTCTGGTCCATACAGTTCGTATGTGATGGTTGAAATGTCTGAAAATATTGTCCTATCGGGTTGGCGGCCTACGACAGCACGATCACTTACTCGGCAGAGCCGGGATTGGGAGGTTTTCGTTTAGGAATTTTTTGTTCGTAGAAATTCAGCCTAAGCGTGATGCCGTTTGACTATATATTCAGAGAGTTGCTAATTTCACATTTTTGAATAATTCCAAACCTTCAACTGGGTTGAAAAACCGAGCATCATTGAAGTTTTCACCTTTGACGCATGCGTGGTTAGCGAAGTTTACCTTAGAAATATTGAAGTTTCCTAGACGTCAATGAATCGGAAACAAGCTGAGCGGGATAATCCCTCGTGCTTGATGTCTGCAACTTTCTTCCTGTGGATGGATTCAATCGATTATCTGGAGTTGTTATATAATTTCACTGTGCACCATGAAGATTCGTCAAAATTGAAAAGCTCTTGTTATTATTATTATTATTCACAACCATTTTATGGGTACATAAGTGTTGTGAACAAACCATTTCGGTTTTCTTCGAAAACGCAATAATACACAAGTTTCAATAATATGAGCATTATATTTGCCATATTGGACAAAGAGAAATAATACCAATGAATCAGGTTCTGTGTAAGTGAAAAGAACACTGAATTGGCTTTAAGGAAGGAAAGGTAGAAAATAAGGGAATAGAAATGAAGGAGTCATGAAGTACGCAAATAGCCTAACAGGGGTGTTTATGATTACAAAACAAGAATAAACGTCTAGGTATGTATCGTCGAATTAGTAAATAAAAATATAATAAAAAATAAATAAAAAGTAAAATAAAATAAAATGGAAAATAATTAAGAAAAAAACAACTTCCTATTTCAGTAAGATATGACGCTAGAATAAATGTTTTTGCAGTCATAGTTTAGAGTAATGTTATGAAAGTCTCAATTAAGTGAAAAGGATCATAAAATATTAATATGTATGAGTCATATATGAATAATGAAGATAAGACGAGTCTGAGAAGGTTATTTAAGTGTAACACAAGTTAATGTCTTAATTGCAAACTTTGTAATCTTAAGAATAATATTTATCTAGAAAGAAAAAGGAGATAAAAGAAATGAACACCTAGTGAACCCTTTCAGTTATGGTAATAATAATTGTGCTATGAATATTGACATTTGAAATAAAACAGCAATTCATGTGCTTCCTGGCAAGCTTCATCATCCTACCTGTTTGAGTAAGGCAAGTACAAATAGACAGGCA